TGCAGTAGAGGTCTGTTTGAGGACGAACATACCTATCATGTCACCAAGAATTGTAATAATTTCGTTTTTCGAGTAATTTGGCCTGCAAGTGAATCAGAGATTGAGGAGTACTTTGGAAGCTGAACTCGTCAAAACGGTAGCACACAACCTAATCGAACCTTTCAGGAACAACTGTTCCAAACCAATGGAGCTTCTTCAAGAGGGAACTAACGATAAAACAAGCTAGCGCTAGTTATGCTTCTGCACAAGATGCTGCATCGTCGAAAAGATGGTTTAGTCACTAGGAGTGACCTCTTGTACTGCTGAAACTCTGCACAGATTGAAACCCTCAAGGGAACTCGTCCTCTCCGCTCCTGGTCTAATTTTTGTGCTGAAAGGCGCCTTCCACTTTGATCATATGACTGGATTCATTGAATAATTGCAGTTCTCTTCCTTGATTGCCCTTTTGACGGCAATGAGGAGAGACACCAATGACGACAGCGCAAGGATTTAACTGACTCCGCCCACACGATTAGTTCAAAATGTGTCTTCTGTTACCAGAAGTACTGGAAGGTGTATGCAGCGCTACTCTCTGACTTCACCCCTCCCCCCTCCCTCTCTCGCACTCTTCCAGAAAGCATTGATGAATCAGCTCGGAATGCTGTTTCACAGTGCTGCAGAGATTTTATGGTGTACAGCAACTTTTGCAAGTCTCAAAAAAAGTTCCGCTCTCTCATTCTTGACTTGCACTCGTCTTGCCAACAGACTCCCGATAATGAGATTTATTAGGCAGTCCCATGGAAGATGTGCCTCATCGCGTCGGTAGAATTTAATAAAGAGACTACCAGCCGCTGGAAAAGAATACGAAATAAGCGGAAATGGGATAGTAAGAAGAGGCGCTTACCCACTTTGTAGAGGGCTGAGGCATTTTTGTAAAGTACCGTAAACTGTGAGGCTAAGTAATAAATCAGCTGGACCATATAATTTTGTCGACGTAGGAAATATACTGGCATTTCTAGTTTACAGTTAACAGGACTGAACAAAAGTAATTCGACAGGACTTTACAAAAGCCTCTACCCTGTCTCAAGCCGACTTGCACCTTGGAGAACTTTTAAAAAAATGTAGTTAATGACAAAAGGTCCCCAATGTGAATTCAGCTAGTCTGCACTGTCCTCATCAGGATCAACCGATGACATCCACCGACGAAAAACCGGTGACTCTACCGATGGCACTAGAGTGGAGGATAAAGAGCAAGAACTAAACCACCTTGCTGAGTTCGCCTCTTCACCATACGTGCCCAAGGTAATACTGGCTACATTTTACTTTGGCATCCGCGGCATTACAGTACTGAGTGGTGTGTTGTCTGTGAGCCGTGTGATTCGCGAAGGCACGAATGGTCGCCGCTACCATACAGCGACGCTCGCGATGCGCAGGCATCTACCTGACCAATGACCAGACGCGCAGTGCTGGCAGTTCAGGGCCAATGGGCTAGAACGCGCAGGTGCAGTGCTAACTTTCTGTTTATACCAATGGACCTGCAGATCTCTGACCCTCACTTCACTATGCTAAAGTGAAGGTTAAAGCTTTCAAGCGGCCGTTTTCTGATCTGAGAGAGAGAAAGGGCATAAGGAGGGGGGGGGATGATTTGGTTCAGAGACAATATGTTCTACTGAACTGAGGCGTCGCTTCCAATGAAATGTCAGAATGCGTTTCCTTCGCTCATCGAGCGAATTTAGTCGCGCATTTGACAAACGCATATCTTATGAGCCGACCTGCGCTCTAACGCTAATCGTGGACACGCTAGGAGGTGTAGGGAGGGGGGGGAGGTTGTACTCTCTCACATTCAGTAGAACTTCCTTCGTCCGTTGCAGGCGGTCCAACATAACGTTAGGCGGCGTGTGTCACCTCGCAAACGCCGTTCCAATCTAATCATTCGAGGCAGGGGAACTGCGAAGGCAACCTAGAGGCCGTCACAAGTACCTTCCTCTTTTAGACCGACCCAAAAGTGCTTTTCAGGCTTGTTGTATGGTTGAATTTAAGGTTCTTGATTTATGTCTTTTCTTCAGTGCTACTCCTTTCCCCTCTAGAACGAGGCTGCCACCAAAGAGCAAGCCATGGTGGTGCGCTGTAAAAATACATTTCCGCGCTCGTCACTACAGACTCCGTCCGCCACTACACAGTCGTGGAATGTTTTACGCTTCACTGGATGCTAGCTTATGCCGATCCAAGATGGTGCCAGAACTGGGCACGCCATCTTGTGATAATCACAAAACAGGGCTGTCGTATTCGGATGCGAGGAGGGGTTCGTATTGGGAGAAAATTTCTTTTAGATGTTTTTGAAGCTGTTTGTTATGATAACTGCTGTTTAACGCCGCAGTACGCGTTCCGAATGTTATCACAAGAATGCTGAGTTGTGGGCAAAAGTCGTGCCCCAGGCGGGAGTCGAACCCGCACCTCACGCTTTCCGGGCGAGTGCGCTATTACGCCACCAGGGCCGCTTTTACCCTCTCAGCTTAACGGCTTTTATGCCGTAGCCTATCAGCACTCACACGTTTAACTTGGTGAGCCGGTCAGCCGTAATCGATGGGATATCGGCATGAAACCGCGAGGCCTAAGGCTTTAGATGTTTTTGAAGCTGTTTTGTTATGATAACTGCTGTTTACGCCGCAGTACGCGTTCCGAATGTTATCACAAGAATGCTGAGTTGTGGGCAAAAGTCGTGCCCCAGGGCGGGAGTCGAACCCGCACCTCACGCTTTCCGGGCGAGTGCGCTATCCGTTACGCCAGAGGCGCTAAAAGCGCCTGGTGGCGTAACGGATAGCGCACTCGCCCGGAAAGCGTGAGGTGCGGGTTCGACTCCCGCCTGGGGCACGACTTTTGCCCACAACTCAGCATTCTTGTGATGAACATCTGTCTTGATGATTTCTCTTGTTTCACGGACGGTATAAGGGGGTGGGGCGTATTACGTAGTTGTTGGGAGACGGACTGCCAAAGATCTATACAACTACTATTTATGATAGTTGAAAATTATAGGTTAATATCCTGACCACTTTCTTCCCTCCCCCCCCCGTTCGACAGCAGGCAAAATTTTGGGGAAGAAAACTAGAATTAGGAAAACTGGTAAGAGAAAGTCGTATATTTCACGAAATGATCACAACGCGATGGCGTGCCCTTGGGGCAGAACGGTTGAGCTTCGAACATTGCAGAAGAACCTAGCACCTTAGAATCGGGACTACATTCCAGAAATCTCTTTTTTAGATTTTTCACCATTACGCGGTTCAATAATGAAGGGCACTATGAGCTATTCTGGAAATAGAACAAACAGTTGTACGATATTGTTATCATCTTTCTCAAACGGACACTGAACTACCTGTTCGACTTGTGTATGGAACACTGAACAAGGTGAGTTACTAATTATGAAAATAGTGAGTTTGAACAAGGAAAGATGATTGAATGTTACAAAATATCGAATAAACGAAAAACAGTGAGGTAGGGAAAAACAATGGAGAAGGTAAACATGAGGCGGACCGTTATTTAGTCATTTAGCCGGGTGTTCTTCCTATCCGATGGGCAGAAGCCGTTGGCATCAGTAAGGACCATTCTTGAAAACGCTTTGATAAATGACCCTCTCCTACAGTCAGTGATCATGTTGAACGTCTGTGAGCATAGTGCTAGCAAGAATTATTTTCATTCTTTATTTTTTCTATATTTCAGAATAAGCGCCCCACCATTTGAGTTACTGCCTACAGTTCTGTTCACTGTGCGATGATGTGGCTGTCAAGGGGGGGGGGAGGGTGTTGAAGCGCCGTCGGCCCGTTTCTTCTTTCGGCAAAGCAACCAATTACCTATCCGTTCCGTCCGTACCCAAGAGTTTTCAACGTTGCTGTCGCTTACCGGCTTCAAAAAGACTGTAGGAGCAAGGGAGACGCGAAATAAGCCATCCTCATCTGCGAGAGACGCAAAGACCAAGACTTCTGCAAAAACATCAAGGTTCCCTGGAATATTTAGAATATTTAGTTACTGGTACAGTCTTGTTCGCTATTAGAATATTTAGCGAGCTCTTGGTATACTTATGACACAAAAATGTTGATAAACTTAAGTTCCAGCTTATCTAGTGAAAGTAGTGGAAATCACTTGAATCTTTCCGCGTTCTTTATTGCGGAATTGGAACTTGCGAAAAACAGCAAAATTACTCGGTGAGAAGAATGTATTTCACTGTTTAGAAGTGTTGAATTTTCAGTGAACCGCGGTGAGGTAGGTGTTGCGAGTGGGGCAACGTACGCAAAATCCGCACCAGAACCCATCCCACTCGACATGACAGCAGCGATGTGCGTCGACTCCAAAAAGCAGAGCCATTCGCCACGCTTAAATAAAGTACGCAGTGCACGTCCTACCGCATCTCAGGATGGCCGAGTGTATGATGCGCGATTGGCATTGTAACATCCCATAACGAGACTGACTTCTAGTAGAAATTAGCGCCTTCTTCACTTTTCGGAGAGGAAATATTCACTAATCAACAGGATGTAATAAACCTTAGACAATGGACAGCGACACAGAAGGCACTTTCTGTCAGCAGAAATGCTAGCGGTTTCACTCGTTTGTATGGTTGGCGCACTACGCTCGTCTACGAATTTTCACAAAATTTTGAATACCCCGTGTTACTTCGGTATTCGTAAGTAATACCATCGTTTAACATAGGGACGAAGCCGATCGGAAGGATATAGTCCGGCAAAAGGCCAGGTAGCAACCTTAAGGGGCACGATGGCTGGGGCGGGCGGCTGCTGCCAACGTCATTGGTGGGAAGGCCGCGAGACAATGTTTGGACATATTCCATCCCTCCCTTCCACCAATGACGCTACCCAGCGGACACCCGCCCGCCAGCCATCATGCGCAACTGCCTTTGAAAGCAGGATTCTGGTCCCTGCCATGTGTGACGAATTTCCAGCCACCTCCACAAGCCATCTTCTGCAGCGTGCCGCCACCCTGTGAGCAACCTAGACGCGATCCCACGGGCAAGTCTGATGCAGTGCGAACAATGGGCGGCTCGACAATTTGACCAGGTTGGCTCGTCTAAGTCTCGCAGACTTTCATCCGTTTTGCCTCTTTTTCAATATCTTCAATCCATATTATAGGCAGTTCTACCATCTCTTTTTGCCGCTCCATTTCAACATGCTTCTAAAACGATGGTGGACCCGATGAAACAAAACCATGCCAAAATCCTGAGAATGGCTGGTAATTTTGACCCAATTCTTACCACAGTAGATAAAGTGACCAGCCAACCATTCTGTAGGTCCTAAGACGAAATTCAGGGATTGACGCCAAAACGAAGCGGGGTCTGTCGCCGAATGGTATGGCGATCTATCAGGAAGTGACTGCGAACATGGACAAATATGACCGGCCGCCACAAAAGAAAGATAAAATCAGGGAAAAGCTAACGAAACAAGAAGATAAAGGAAGCAAGAAGTCGGCGGCTCAACCGAAAGTAAATCATTTTTTAGCAGGATCTCGGTTTCAAGAAATATTTGAGGTAAATTAAAGGACCACCCGCGTGAACCATATACGAATGTGCCCAAGGATGAATTCTGTATGGTCGCCGATAGAACGATTGAAATCGACAAGAATGACCTGGTGAGAAACTTGCATTTCGTCATTTTATTTTTCTTTTTTTCTCTAGGCGTTTTTCCCTTTTCTGACCTCTTCTTCCCTTTTCTGACCCCTTTTCTCTAGCTTTCACATCAGAATTAATGGCACCACTGCGAGCGGAGTCGGGAAACTGCACTAGGGCATCATAACCCTCCGACACCATTTCGAGCACTTTTGAGCGTAGAAAAAGGCACTGTACTGCACCTGCAGACCCCTCCACCTCACACATGAGAAGGGCCGTCCCTAGAGGGGACTGCACAGTTTGTTTTTTTACCGTTGTTGCTAACTATTCAAATTCTTAGTGATGCATAGTAGTTCTAAAGGTGAACTCATTCCAGATTGTCAATCGTCTCCGTACACTCGGAAAAGGAGCATTCGGTGCTGTTTACGCTGGAGAATATAGAGTAAATTATCAAATTCTCAATGATCAACGTTTTTCTATGTTTTTATATGGATGGTATGAGGGGGCTGTTGTGATGTGAAATTGTGTTTCCGCCATTTCGTCACTGAGGAGCCTTCTCGGTGCTCGCCCGCCGACAGGCGAAGTTCTTCAGCGAACATTGCGCTTTTCTTTCCACTGGTTCCAGTCGCCTCCTGCACCGTTGGAACAATGGGACGCCCACCAAGTAGAGATGCCCGCTCTTTAATAAAGACGTGAAACTTTCTTGCTCTCGCTAGTTATGGTTTATCAAGTCTCACTCTGTGAACCTGTTGATTTCTTGTGAAGCTGAGCAATTTCTTCAAAGCCATCATGGTAAACCTTCAAACTCGAGAAGGGCTCCTGTTAATGGGTCTTTGGGAAGTCGTTAAAGTGCTAAGTGCCTCCCCCCCCTGCCCGCTCCACAGCGCCCAGTTGGTTCTACGTTGCGGCGGCGGTAGCAAAGAGACATTGCCAGCGGAATCGTGTTTGGGTCACGATTTCACATCAGGACCCGATGTGCTTACGATCAGTCCATATTGCCTCAAGCCAAACCCGATCTGCTCATTGCTTCAAGCCAACTAGCCAAGCAACATTCTGCTACAACGTGGAACTAACGGTCTTCATTCCTACTCCAAGGGCCTCCACCTAGACAAACGGCGTTCAGTGACTGAAAAATAACACAGGGCATCTGTTGACAAAGGTACAAGATGAATGAAACTTTTCCATTTACTTAATAAGAGCTGTTCAGACCCAAAACGGCGCTATTGTATCTGTGGCTGTGAAAAGTCTTCGTCTCGTCACTACCGACAAGGATCAAAGGCTGCCCTGGATTAGCGAAGTAGAAATGACCCATGTAAGGCTAGCAAATCTTTCTTCGTTCTGTAGCACATTAATGCTGATCATTTGGGTGGACTCATCCGACCACCACGTTTTCCTCACTAACGCACGAGGAAGGCAGCACTTGATTGTCTCTTCTCACGCAATCAGCGTGGATTCATCGCCTCCTACAGTATGCGTTTCTTGTGCAGTGCATGAATATATAAATAGAAGGAGACCTCGTGCTCAATATTTTACATGAACTTGTTGGACCGTCTCTCAGCTGATTTCTACGACGTTAACTGTTCAAACCACAAATGGGCAGCGTTCAAACTTCGCGATGACATGCGTCGACGCGCAGTAACGCGCGCGACTCGCTGCAATTGTGACAGCGC